TTCTTAATTTTAACAATATTATGTTAATATTGTTATGGGGAAAGATCTTTATGATTTTTTGTGGTTACAGGGAGATACAGAAGAAAATAGAGTGCGTGAAAGATCAGCAATTCGATCAAGGGACGGATTTGGTGGTTTATCGCAATCGAATGTAAATGAAACTGAAGATCAGCAAAGAGAAAAAGAACACAATGAAACCAAGGTATTTTCTTTGAATTTCTGAATATTCTGCACTATTTGAGTCAGCCCTTAACTGTCTTTAATACATAACATTACAGCAATATAATATACAAACATTTTCAAGGCCTTATCATATGACCACTGTTTAAAATGAGAAAACATTGCTGAGAGAAATTTGCATGAGTGAATCATTACATGTTCATATTACCAGCTTGCATTGTTGAGATTTTGAGCATCTTGATACGGTCATGGACAGTAACTGCCTACAGTGAGGCTCATTGTACTGAAGGAGGAGGGTTTTAATAGTGTAAATGGGGCTTGTGATTTAGCTAGTAGATACTTAGTGGACATACAAATGCAGTATGAGGGGTATTTTATGTTTCGAGACTTGGGTGGGAGCTCCCCCTTCCAAATTTCAGGGTCTTTTTTATTTGGGGGGAATTCCCCCTCCTATAGTCACATACCCAGACGTCATTTCCTATGCTCACCTATTTGCATTATATGTTTTATCACTATGGGAACAGGGGCAGATTCATTATAGAATAATTACCCATCTAGAATTGTTATAAATGTTGACTATAGCTAGTAAATATCACTTTTATTATATTTTTAATATCATATTTTTAAATCTGCAGACATTAATTTACTCGCTTGATGATGCAACAGTACGAAAGCTGGCAATAAGGAGTTTGAGGAGAGGAATAGGAAGTATGGATTACATAGACACTTTACTGATTGCAGAGGACGATCTGGATGCAAATGATAACACAGAAGAGGTTTTGGATGATTTTAGTGATGAGACAGAGGGTACAAGTGGAACAAGTCATCAAGACTCAACAGGAAATCTTGAAGCTGCCCCTCCATGGTGTGTATGCTCAAATTGTAGCCCAATGTCTCAAGAAATAGAGAACAAATGCTGCAAATTGAAAAAGTGTATAACATTATCTGCACGTTTTGCAAAAGTATGCTTAGACCCAGATGTCCTTGAGCTCTGTGTCAGAAATACCAGTGACATAAGAAATGACCGTGAGGACAACAGCACCAGAGCCTTTCGTAAAGCAGCATATAGGCAGTTTATATTAGCCCGACATGGGTTTTTAGGAAAAGGAAATCATCGTGTTTGCCCCTTGTGTGCTGTAATTAGAGTAAGACAGAGATATCCATCTGTGACAGGTGTGTACATGGGGTACAGAGAACATTAGCATGATAGCACATGCAGGCTTGCCTGTACAGATGATACATGGAGAAGTTATTATAGAAGTTATTAGTTATTATGTTATTATTATTTAGTTATTTATAAGAAACAACAATATATGGAACACTTCATTACTTTATTATAAGTATTGTTATCTTATTTTACAAATCTGCTTCTTCTTTGCGGCAGGTCTTTCGTTGAAGGTGTATGAGCAATATTAGGAGCAATATTGCCTGGATCACTTGCATTTAGTGATACATTGTGTGTAACAGAATCCATATCATGTATTCTTCTGCTGATAATCTTGGACAAGAGCAGTGGAATATATTGATATTCTTTCTCAACCTTGACACTTTTAATATCCCATTGTCTTGTCCTGGGGTTGTATTTTCTAGTTACAATTTCATCACCTGAATCACTTTTGGCTGTGGGAAGGTTAGCATGAAAATTCCAATCAATCGCAGTAAGTTGTTTTCTAGCTTTATACACCCTGTAACTAAAACAATTATATGAGATTATCATTCCAGAAAACATCCACACCTCTCATTATTAAGTAAATTGGATATCCTTGGACATCTTATTACTTTTGCTATGTTGGAAGTTTATCTCTGCTATTCCTCCTATAGACATCAGAAACATGGTGGGGGGGGGGGGGGGGGGGGGGGGG